CCAGGGTCCTGCCTCCAGACCCCTCATACCAGTTCAAGTCCAGGTTCAGCTGCTGTAACAGAGTGGCTTAAATAAGGAAGTGTGCTTTCCTCTAATGTGAGAGTTTGGATGAGGCTCTTCCTATCTTGTTGACTTGCCACCTGTGTCAGGGTACAAGGTGACTGCCAACCTCCAGCCATCACCTCCACATCCCCGCCCGCAAAATGGGAAAGGAGGGCACAGTTCTTTAAGGGGGTGACCCGGAAATTGCAAGTGTCACTTGAGATCACATCTCGTAGACCAGAACGCTCTCACGTGGCCACATCCAGCCATGTGGGCAGCAGGGAAACACAGCTTTTTTGCTGGGTGTCCATGAGCCCAGCTGAATTCAGGGGTTCAGTTACTAAAGGAGGAAGGAGAGATGGGTGCTGGGGACAGCCAGCAGAGTCTGCCTGCCTGCTCACCAGATATCTGCCCTCCCCGTGCACCTTAGACATCATCCATAAGTTCATCCGGGATAAGTACTCAAAGCGCTTCCCTGAGCTGGAGTCCTTGGTCCCCAACGCACTGGATTACATCCGCACGGTCAAGGTGAGCGGAGAGAGGTCAGGACTTGGGAGGAACTGAGTCCCCTTGATGGCCCCTTGTGTGAAGGTGGCAAGGGTGGGGGGGGCGGGGAGCAGGTGAATGACCCGGAGTGAGGATGCCGGAGCCTCAGCTGCCTTCCTCGTTCTCTTGAGGCCTGGAGATACTGGAGAGGGATGAGTGGTGGTTCAGCTGCTCCAGGCTTCCCAGCAAGAAAGGGATGGAGCCTAGAAAGAATGTTCTCAGGGGTCCTCTGCCCCAGTTCCGATCCTGCTGCTTCCCTGGATGGGTCTCCCAGGAAGGGCTGGGGGCTGCTTGAGGCCGAGAAAGCAGGGAGGGAGATGAGGGGGTCCCTCATGCCACCAACAGTGGTTGGACCAGGTGGCATTTGAGTCGAGATCTGAAGGTTGACGCAGGGGCAGCCGTGCAGAGATTTGGGGGAAGAAGTCATGAGTATCAAGACCCCTAGATGGACAGCAGCCCTGGTGTGTTCAGAAAGGAGGAAGTGAGGGGCAAAGTTGATGAGTTTGGGTCCCATGTGACCTCCAAGGCTTTGGGCCTTCTGGGAAAGCCATGAGAGGGTCAGGTGCTCGTGAGGGTGGGGACAGTGGTGAGGAGTCTCCTGGTGAGGCCAGGAGGTGAGGATGATAGCAGGGGGTGTACGCACAGGGAAGTGGTGTGGTCAGATTTGCACCCTGAGTTGGTGCAGGCAGCAGGGCTACCCGGGTCCAGTTCTGGACCAGCCGTGCAGGGCAGATGCTGCTGATGCTCTGAGCGGTGAAGTCCCCGGAACTGGGAGGAGGCAGGCACCCTGTGTACAGACCCCAGCTGTCCCTGAGTCTCTGTGCTTCTCCTCTCTTGCCTTCTCGCCCCCAGGAGCTGGGTAACAGCCTGGACAAGTGCAAGAACAACGAGAACCTACAGCAGATCCTGACCAACGCCACCATCATGGTCGTCAGCGTGACCGCCTCCACCACCCAGGGGTGTGTGCACAGGGGGAGAAGTCACTGGGGCCCCCTCAGGCCCATCTAATTGCAGATGAGGATCTTGGGGTCCCAGTGGCACGGGTGTCCGTCTCAGGAGAACAGTTCACTTCTGTTCCACACGTGTTTGACAAGGGCCTGCTGTAAGCCAGGCACCGTGCTGGGCCCAGGATGCTCAATCAGTGAGGAGCCCGTAGTTGGGAGTGGTGAGGCAGAGGGCAAACCCGTAGTAGAAGCGTTTGTCTCTGGCGTGTCATCCCTCACTGGAATGAAAATGTCTGTGAAGACAGGGACTTTGTGTTGCCCCTTGGTCTGCAACCTTCTCCTCTGGTATCTGTACCTAAGAGGAAGAAATGTCTGTAACCCCAGAGCAAAGTCCTGTGGAGTGGAGACCTCCCTTGGGCTGCCATTCTGTTCATTGAGTAAATGCTGACCAAGCACTAGGCACTGCTCTGAGGGCAGATTAGAGAACTCAGCAAAGCAGAGTCTGCCTGCCCTGCCCTGCCCTGCCCAAGCTCCCGTCTGGGAGGAAGCAGGCGTACACACAGGTCGAAGGCTGGAGGGCGAGTGTCGGAGTGCAGGAGGGGTGCCAAGCGGCATGGGGTGCAAGAGGAGGGGCACCTATCCTACTGGGCCGGGTGGCTTCCTGGAGGAGGTGACGACTCAGCCTCAGGCAGGGACCAGGCTCTGTAGTGGGAGAACAAGTGGGCTCCTAGCTTGCCCCTGCTGGGGGCAGCCTTGAGCATCAGCCCACTGGGCTTTGGTTGCAGGGGCCTCCGGCCGGCCCCATGGTCCCTCTGTGCGCCTTACAGCGCAGATGGGGTGAAGGAGGGAGGAGTATGGCTGGGTTTGGTTACCAGCTCTGCGGCTTCAGGCCAGTCCCCTTCATCATCTGGCCCTTGGGTCCCCCCTCTGTAAAACGACAGTGATAACAGCCCCCTTTGTGGCTTCCTGCCACAAGTACTTGCCCAGCATCTTCCGTGCTGCGGAGAGTCAGGCAAGTGTGGGTCCCTCTCCAGGGCCGGCTGGTCCGGCACCAGAAGCGGGCGGGACATGGAGAGGCCATAAATAGGCACAGTTGGTCACAGCTGGTGACAGTGGGCCTCGGTGGCCGGCAAGGCTGAGACCCGAAGGATGAGGAGTTGCTGACGGGGGCACGTGGGCAAAGGCTTCGACGCCAGCGCGCACCTGGCAGAGACCGGCGTGGGCAGGCAAGGCCCCAGCCCAGGCGGCAAGCGCAGTGCCCACCCAGAACTAGGATTCCCACAGCCCTTGCTTCCAGGCCTCAGGGCCGATGGGACACACGTGTATACGGACGTGCACACAGCTGGGAGGACACGGGCTGGCCTTCCGTGCCGGTCAGAGAGGCTACCCAGCAGGGGCCGGGGTCCGACTCTCACCCCTCCCTGTCCTTCACCACTGCAGGCAGCAGCTGTCGGAGGAGGGGCTGGAGCGACTGGAGGAGGCCTGCGACATGGCGCTAGAGCTGAACGCCTCCAAGCACCGCATCTACGAGTACGTGGAGTCTCGGATGTCCTTCATCGCGCCCAACCTCTCCATCATCATCGGGGCGTCCACGGCCGCTAAGATCATGGGTGAGGCCCGGGGGCAGAATGGGGACAGAGGGCCGTCCTTGGATAGGGCGCCCTTGGGGAAGCCTCATCCCTCCTCTATAAGATGGAGCATTTAGCCCAGGGCCCCAGCACCCTGTCCCCCTTGCCCTCGCCCTGTCACCCCTCCTAGAGGTCACAGAGGTCAGCCGCCTGCTTCTCCTGCAGACACAGGGACGCGATGGTGGCCCTGGGCCGGGCTGGACTAGACAGGCTGGGGGGGGAGGTGGCGCGGCTGCTGGAGAGTCTGGCCCTGCTCGGCCAGCACGTCCCAGAAGCTCCCAGCTCTGCGCAGACACCTGGGCTGCCCGGCACTAGCAGCATCAGCTCTCAGGACCTCGGTCTCATCCGCGAGATGGGGGCTGCCGTCCTGACGATGCGTTAGGACCGAGGGTGGGCCCTCCTCCTCCACCCCTGCAGTCTCAGCACCCTCTTGGGCTCCTCGCCCCTTCAGCCGAGAGACTCTTCAGGGGAATTCGGTGAAGCAGCTGTGCTGGGTTGTTCGGGCTGCCCTAACCAAGTACCACAGACAGGGGTGGCGGGCAGCGGGGGCACTTAAAACGTCGAGATTCACTGTCACACAGTCCTGGAGGCTGGGAGGCCAGGAGCAGCCAGTCAGCAGGCTGGGCCCTGCGGAGGCCTCTCTCCTCGGCTTGTAGGTGGCCGTCTGTGGCCTCCCCTCTGCGTCTGTGTCCTCATCTCACGAGGACACCGGTCGTACTGGATCAGGGCCCTTCCGATGTCCTTCCACTTTAATCACCTCTTTCAAGGCCCATTTCCAAACACAGTCCCATTCCGTGGTACTGGGGGGGTAGGGCTTCGATGTAGGAATTTGGGGAGATCCAGGTCAGGTCCCAGCATAGCCTTGGGTGGCAGGTGTGTGCAGAGTTGCAGGGTAGAAAGAAGCAGTGGTTTCAGGGCAAGATAATCTCAAGTGTGGATCCTCCTTCCCCCCTCACTGACCTCACGTCTTGGGGCAGGGGACGTCATGTGCCTTGGTTTCCCCAGTGGTGATAGGGCTTTGCTACTGTCCTGCGACTGCTGGGCTGATGAGGGTGTAGGCCAGCTCCTGCGCTCCTTTCTGTTTACGGAGCTTCTAGGAAGGCATCCGTTCTGGCCTCCTCCAGCTCCCAGAGGCCGCCTGCGTCCCCCACCTTAAAGTCTCCTGTCTCGCCTCCCTCTGACTCTCCGCCTTTCTCTTCCACTTACCCTGTCTGGCGGTCCTTCACGTGGCCACATCTGCAGAGGGTCGCGGGTTGCGGAGATTGTGGTGTCAGTGTGTGGGGCCGTTCTCGCACACGGGCTTCCGAGCCTGTGCAGGAGGCGTGTGTTTGATGAAACAGTAGACCTAGCCCCAGCGCGGGGCCTGGCGCCCAGCAGACCCCCATCAGAGAGGCCTTTTTACCTGCAGCCCCTCTCCCCCGGGCCTGCAGACGTGCTCACGCGAGCCCAGCGGTGGCTGATGGCAGCCCCGTCCTCAGGGCGCCCCCGCTGTGGTGGCGGCTGGTGTGAGACACACAGAGCAGGGGCCGTGTGGCTCTGCAGACTCGGGGGACACGTTCCTGTTGGGTCGTCTCCTTGCTGTGCATCCTCAGGCAGGTGGTTTCACCTGTCTGAGCCGCCTCTGAATCCTCCCTCCGAAACGGGACTCGTCAGCCCTCGGGGGCAGGGCCAGCTCAGGAATTCAACCAGGAACTGACACAGAGGCACACAGCGCGCCGTGAACCCCCAGGCAAAGGCCCTGGGCTGCTCTTGACATCCTCCCTCTGGCTCTCCTTCCTTCCCTCCCTCCTTTCGCAGGGGTGGCCGGGGGCCTGACCAACCTCTCCAAGATGCCTGCCTGCAACATTATGCTGCTTGGGGCCCAGCGAAAGACGCTGTCTGGCTTCTCGTCCACGTCTGTGCTGCCCCACACCGGTTACATCTACCACAGCGACATCGTGCAGTCGCTGCCCCCGGTGAGTCATCGCCCCTCCCCCCCCGTGCACCTGGCGCGTGGCTCCCCTTGGAGCCTTCTGCCAAGCCAGGCGCAGCCTCGTCCAGAGAGCAAGTTGCCCCCTCTGCGCCTCAGTTCCCATTGGTCCGAGCTGATGACCGTGGTCAGGAGCTCAGAGAACAGGGTCACATGGGGCATCAAAACAAGGACCCTGGAGCACATATGCTGGCGTTGGGGTCCTAGAGCTGCACTTGACAACTGGGCAAGAGGCGGGAGCTCTGTGCCTCAGTGTCCCTGTCTGTGAAGTGGGGAGAATGGGACCTGCTTCATGGGGTTGGATTAGGATTAGGATTCCTATATACGAAACTCTTTCAGGTCCCACTTGCACATAGCAAGTGATGTCAGCATTAGCTCACAAGTGCAGGAGTCCCCAGACCATCCTCAGGTTCAGTAACCCACTAGAGGGACGTACAGACTCCAGGCTGACCCACTTGGGTTATGGTTTGTCGTCGTGAAAGGACAGACTCACATCAGCCAAGGGAGGAAGTGTGTGGGGCAGGGGCCAGAGGTGCCAGCCACCACACTTCCGGGCCTCCTCTCCCTGTCAGGACACATCACTCCTGGCCTCCACACGTGACAGCCTGCAGGGGGACCCGCCCCCAGGGAAGCCCAGCTGAGCCTCGAAGTTTGGAGTTTGCACTGGGGCTCAGTTGTGCAGATGCGACCAGGTAGCCCCGGTGGCTGATCTGGGCTCCAGGTTGAGACCCTGTAACCCAAAGACCCCACTCTCAATCCCATGGTTGGTCTCTGCCTTGTCCGAGGCCCCCCAGGCCAGCAGAGATCACCACCCAGGGGGTGAGGGCCGAGGGCGGACCTCTTAGGGCAAGGTTACGTGTAGTCACTGCTAACTTCATTATCGTTATCAATTAGACGTGGGGCTGGGGGTTACACCATCTTGGTGTATCTCAGAACGTGGGCTACCATCCTTTCTGATACACAAACGGATGTGTGTGTGTTTTTTTTAAGATTTTATTTATTTGAGAGAGAGAATGAGTGAGAGAGAGAGCGCACAAGAGGGGGGAGCAGGAGAGGGAGAAGCAGACTCCCCGCTGAGCAGGGAGCCCGATGCGGGACTCGATCCCGGGACTCCAGGATCATGACCTGAACCGAAGGCAGTCGCTTAACCAACTGAGCCACCCAGGCGCCCACAGATGGATGTGTTCTATTTTAATGATTGTTTTTGGCATGTGACAGTCTTCCACCTGCAGTAGTGCAGCTGTCTGTGCAAACAGGTTCAAGCTGTTAGTAAGCTGGTGGAAAGAAAACTGTGACAGTGGTAGTCTGTTGCCGTAACACACTGTTACAGTAACACGTAGTGGGAATGGCGAACCGCTGACCGGCAGAAAGTGAGCCGGTGGCGGCTGGGGTTTGGGGAATGCTCGGTGCTGGCAAAGGAAGCCTCCTATGGACTCTGCCCCTCTCTGCTGCTTCAGGATCTCCGGCGGAAAGCGGCCCGGCTGGTGGCCGCCAAGTGCACGCTGGCAGCCCGCGTGGACAGTTTCCATGAGAGCACGGAAGGGAAGGTGAGGCGTGGGGAGGCGTCCGTCTGTGTGGGTCTGTCTCTTCTACCAGCCTTGTCATCGTTCAGTCCACCTCTGTCTTCTTGGCAGATTTGGTCCATGACAGTGGGTGTGTTTTCTGTCTCGTCTGTTGGTGTCCAGACACCCAGCCTGGCACAGCGCTTGGGGCTTCGTCTCTCTCTCTCTTTCTTCCTCTTCCTCTCTCTCGAGCACCGGTCTGGGTGCTGGGGGTACAGCCGTGAGCCCCTCAGACCAAAGCCCTGCCTCCGTGGCATTCACGTTCTGGGGAGGCAGGGGGCGGTGAGGGGGTGAGACATCTGTGGCGTGTGCAGGGGTGCCACGTAAATGCTGGGGCGGGGTCAGACGGTGCTGGGCGGGCGAGGGAGGGGCGGCGCTGGTTCCATCAGGACGTCAGGGAGGCCTTACCTGAAAAGGTGACGGTCTAACGTGCACCCAAGTGAAGCTAGCAAGCAGGTCGAGTGCATGCTTGGGGGAAGAGTCCCAGGAAGAGGAAATGGCCAGTGCAAAGGCCCTGAGCCTGGCACACAGCAAGCTAGGGAGAGGAGGCCGTGGGACGGGGCAGGTCATGCAGAGCCTGTGTGCCCCGGAGAGACCTTGGTGCAGCAGAGGTGCTGATGGGGGGCTGATTTGGGGTCTTTCCTGAAGGAAGAGCCTTGTGGGGCCGGAACCACAGAGGTGAGGCTCCCAGGTGACCCCCTCTGCCCACCTGTGCAGGCCAGGGCCGAAGGTTGGGGAGGAGACGCAGGCATTGGGTTTGGCCCTGTTGCATCTGGGGGGCTGCTCGCAACCTCCGTCAAGGAGACAGTTATGTGAGGGGTGCAGGGAGATGTCTGAGTCTGAGGTGGGACTAAACCCCGACAGAGGATAGGTCCCCCAGGCCTGGGGACGGGCGCCACGCTCAGGCCGATGGCCAGGCAGGGCCCTGAGGGGACCCTCCTGCCCTCCCCAGGTGGGCTACGAACTGAAGGATGAGATCGAGCGCAAGTTCGACAAGTGGCAGGAGCCGCCGCCTGTGAAGCAGGTGAAGCCACTGCCTGCCCCCCTCGACGGACAGCGCAAGAAGCGAGGCGGCCGCAGGTGGGCCCTGGGGGCTGGCGGGCTTGGGAAGGGAAGGGAGGGGCTCCTGCCCCCAGCTGACCCCTGGCGCCCATCCCCAGGTACCGCAAGATGAAGGAGCGGCTAGGACTGACCGAGATCCGGAAGCAGGCCAACCGCATGAGCTTCGGAGAGGTCACGCCCTTAACCCTGATGCCCCTTTCGCATTTCTTCTTCTCTGTGCTGGGGCACCACCCACCTCCAGTCTCTCCCCCACCCCGTGCACCCCAAAGCATAGCACTCAGTGCTGGCCCCATCCCTCCCCCAGCCTTGCCCTCCTGTCCATGCCCTTCCTCGGGCTTCACCTCTGCCAGTCTCACTATCTGAGCATCATCCTGCTGGTCCTGCGAGAACTAGCTCAGATGCCCTTTCGTCAGCGAGCCCAGTTTCGGTCGTTGGCCCTGCACACACAGACCCACACACAGCCCCTCTCAGCTGTTAGCTCAGGGAGCGGTAACAGGCCTGTGCTCCTCACTGGGCCCCAGCGGGCACCTGAATCGGCTGAATGTCTGGGCATCTGGCTGATGGAGGGTGGCTAACTCTGGGATACCTTCCCCTCCCACCAGATTGAGGAGGACGCCTACCAAGAGGACCTGGGCTTCAGCCTGGGCCATCTGGGCAAATCGGGCAGCGGGCGTGTACGGCAGACACAGGTGAACGAGGCCACCAAAGCCAGGATCTCCAAGACACTGCAGGTACGGGCCTGGCTGGGTGGGCCCAGGGGTGAGGGAGCTCTGGTGGGAGAGCCCGGGCCCAGCCCAGACATCCCGTCCCCTCCCCCCCCCCCCCCCCACAGCGGACCCTGCAGAAGCAGAGTGTGGTGTACGGCGGGAAGTCCACCATCCGTGACCGCTCCTCGGGGACTGCCTCCAGTGTGGCCTTCACCCCGCTCCAGGTACTGTGCCCTGGAGTCGGGAGGCCGGTTCTGCGCTGGCTCCGCTCCCAGCTCTCAGAGTGGCCCTGGGCGAGCCCCTTCCTCTTCCTGGGCTCCAGCTTCTTAGCCTGGGAAGCGGGCACATGACGGAGTTCCTCACGGGGCTGTTGTGGACAGTGTATCAGGGACGCCCCCGGAAGGCCGAGCGCAGCTCCTGGTGCTCAGGCTCGTGGGGACAGAAGGGAAACCATCGTGCCTGCATGCACAGCTAGCTTTAGGGCTGGGCTGGGGTTGCAGGTGACCAGTTATTCCCTGTGGCCTCGAGCCGGCTCAGCCCTCCCTGAGGTGCTGGGTGGCGGGGACCCCTCAGGGCTCCACGTAAGAAAGTTCATAGCTAGCTGGCTGGGACCCAGCCACCGAGGCACCGGGTGGAGCCACCACACCTGTCCGTTCCTCGGCTCACCCGCACAAGAGGGCCAGTGTGTCCCACGGCATCGTGCCAAGTCACTGAACTCATTTGCTCCGTCAGCAAGGGTGTACTGAGCACCCAAGTGCCGGGCACTGTTGCAGGCACCAGGGATGGAGCCGCAGGCACGAGGCAGTAAGCCTTGCTCATGGAGCTTATGGGGTGGCGGGGTCAGATGAGTACAATAGAGAGCCCGTCGGAAAGTGGAGAGTGCAGGGAGGACGGGGAGAGGGAGCAGTGTCAGGTTGGAGCCACCTGGGGAGGCCTCAGCGAGGAGGTGAGAACTACCCGTGGAAGATGCTGGGAATGGTGCCAGCCAGTGTGGGGCCCCCAGAGCTGATCCCTGTGTCACCAGTGGGGCTGATACGGTTTGCACTAGGGCCGCAGGCGAGCCACTTAGCTCTGTGACTCGGTTTCCTTGGTTGGCTGTTCGGAAACATTGGTGTTTTTAAAATCCCCTGGAGGACTTGTTAAAAATTCAGATGCTCAGGCCCTCCCCACTCTTCCCCATCCCAGACCGCCAGAGTCAGAATCTCCCCAGGTTTGGGGCGGGGGCAGTTTGGTGACTGGCAAACTGTTCTCATGTCTACCTGGAGCCCGAGGACCATTGAGAAGGGTCCCCTGGACATTTCAGAATTCTCTTACTGGGGGGGGGGGCCTTGTCAGGGGCCAGCCCATCTCCCCACTCCATCATCACCTCCCTCACCTGCCCAGGGCCTGGAAATTGTGAACCCGCAAGCAGCCGAGAAGAAGGTGGCTGAGGCCAACCAGAAGTATTTCTCCAGCATGGCCGAGTTCCTCAAGGTCAAGGGCGAGAAGAGCGGCATCATGTCCACCTGAGGCACTGCGCCCTGGGGGGCTGCCCCTGAAGCTGCACAGGCCCCGCCCTTCTGAAGGGGTGGGGTCAGGATAGGGCTGGGAGGTTCCGTCCTCAGCCCGGTGCCAGGACTGTCCGGGGAGGCTCGGGAGGAGGCCCAGCCCCCCAAGCACCGAGATCGCTCCCCATTGCAGGGGGCACAGAGCCAGTCTTCACCATGCCTCATCTTTTGTATTTTAACTAGGAAGGGAGATACTTTTGGAAAAAGTGCAATTAAAAGCACATTATCAGGTTCTGTTCCTGGGGAGTGGTCATTTGTCAAACACGTGTGTGACTGGAGGAGTCTGAGCTGTGGGGTTTGGGGGCACAGATCCAGGTGGTGTCTGGGCCCATCCCTGGCCTTTCTCTTCCCTATTCCGTAACAGGCTGTGGTGTCAGGTGAGTGGCCTCGCATTTCCAAGCCTCCACCCCTAACACCAAGGGCCACCTGTGAGGATGTGAAAGGTGCCCGGGACGTGCCTAGCATTGGGCTGCCTGTCAGAGTCCAGTGTTTGCAGAGTACTCCCTGCCCACCCTGCTGTGCCGAGCCCTGATGGGGCTGAGCAGACAGGCTCCCTGCCGGCCGGGACGCGGTGCTCTAAGAGTTCCTCCCACGTCAGTCCGTCCTGGAACTGGGGCTCAGCCAAGGCCCCCTTCTCTTGGGCTGGGAGGTGCAGGCCGAGGGCACGCGGCCTGCAGGCAGGTGGGGACAAGGCTGTGGGCAGGGGCTGTCCCTGGGGCTACCCTGCAAGCGCTAATTAAGGAAGGCGCCACCTGGGGGCCCACGTACTGTGCTCCGGAGCTGGGCTTCACAGTGCACTGGGGAGGGAGCCCTGGTCACCGACCTGTGAGGTCAGTCAGCGCCCCTCTTAGTTACCCAGGGGGTGGGTGCACAACCCACCCTGTAGGAAGGTGATGCCTCCTACCTCTGCCAGTCTCCCACCCTCCAGTTCACACTTTCTCCCTGAGGCTTTGGCTGGCTGGGTCCCGTCTGAGATATCTCCTTCTCTGTTCCGCTTTCTGGGCCGCCCCTGCCATACTTGCTCCAAGTATGTCTCAGTTCAGGGCTCACTCTGTGGACCTCAGCCCCTCTCTGAATCTCCCCCCTCACATCAGAGTCTACACCACCTGGGAGATTCCTTCTAATGGCTACACTACCCCAGGTCACTGAACTCGGTTTCCCCAGCTTTATCCCTAAGCCTTTAGATCAGCCCTGTTGAAAAGTGATGAACTTGGCTGATCTCTGCTGATGAGTCTGCCGGGGAAGGGTGCTCTGTCTGCCCCTCTTCAGAACCTCCACCTCCCTGGCCAGAGTCAGAAGGGATCTGATTCACCTCGTGCTGCAGTCTTGCAGAACCTTAGAACAGAGATGCTCAAAGCTTAGCATGCTTCAGAATTACCTGGGTGGCTTGTTTAAAACCAGGGTTGCAGGGCCCAGGGTTTCTGCTTCAGTTGGTCTAGGGTGGGAACTCAAAAGTGTACATTTCTAGTAAGTTCCCAGGTGATGCTTTGGCTACTGATTGATACCTCACTTTGAGAACCACTTCTAGAAAATTCTCTATCAGATGAGCTGCATGTTGGAATCATCTCAGTAGATTTAAAACATTAGTCTGGTTCCCATTCCCAGAAATTCAGATTTCAGTGGTCTAGGGTAAAAGACATACCTGGATTTTTTTCTTTCAAGCCACCCAGGTGAGTCTAATGTGCAGCCAAGTTTGAGAACCACTGCTCTGAATCCTTGTTACTCAAAGTGCCAACTGTGGAGCATCAGCATCACCTGGGAACTTGTCAAAAAAGCAGAACCCGGGACCTCCTGAATCAGAATCTGCATCTTAACAAGCCGTCCCGGGTGTCCGAGAGGCACTGCCACGTCCAGGGTCCGCACTTTGAGGAGCGTGGCTCTAGATGAGTGACTCCCCAACTCCAGTGAGCATGGGGATCACGCAGGGAAGTGTGTCAAAGTGCACACCTCCAGGCTTCACTCCCCAGGTCTGTGTGGACCTAAAAACCCCTCCCCTCCCTTGCCCTGCGATTCGGCTGTAGCCCTCACTTGCACCTTCCCTGGATCCACCTTCCCATCTTGACCGTCTGACCCCGAGCAAACGCCTCGTGGCTGGTGAAAGCACCAGTGCCCCCCGAGTCCTGGACCACGAGTCATCCCTCGCGTTCACTCGCTCGCTCATTCATGAGCACAGCGACTGTCTTCCTGCGGATGCCAAGTCCGGAAGGGCAGACGTGCCGAAGCGGGAGAGCGGGAGGGCACAGGGTAACCCCCCGAGGGCCCTCGGAGGCCGACGTGCAGGGGGGAGCTGCTGTCCCAGGCGGCGGCGGGACAGGCGGTCCGTGCATCCCTCCCCGCCCCAAGGGCGTGCGAGCGCCAGTGACTCGGGGCGCTGTCCACTGCTCCCCTGCTCCCTCCCACAACACCGAGCCCCAGACCTGAGCCGAACGCGGGCCGCGGCAGGAGCGCGACGCAGCCGGGACACGGGGGACGCCGAGCCCGCCGGCTACGCCCCGTTCCACAAGCTCGGCAGGCGGGTGCCGCCCCCTCGCTGCGCCCCCGTACCGGCCGGGGTGAACGACACCAGGCGGGGCCGACGGGGGGACAGCTCCTCCCCCCGTCGACCGGCAGGCGACTTCGGCTCGGCCGGCGCTCGGAAGGCACCTGTCCGCCTCTCATTAGGTGAGCGGCCTTTCACGCCCACGCTCCATGCCTTCCTCCGCTTTCCCCACCCACTTCCGGACCCAACCAATGGCTTCAGGGCAGAATATCCCCTCACAACCAATTAAAAACGGCTCTAAACTTGACGAACGACTTCCCGCCCCTGATCAGCCTAGCTCCTCCCCCCGGCCAATTGGTTTAGGAGAAGGGGGACGGGTGTATCCAATCAGCACGACAGTGGCCTCTTGATTGATGCACGGGCCCTCGCGCTGGCGTGTTGTGCCCTGAGGCGGGGAGGAGGAGGAGCGGGGAAGAAAACCTGAGCCAATCCTAGCAGCCTGCGCGGGAGGCCAATCGAACGCCGCGCCTTGGAGGGATTGCCCAATCGGCGAGAGGAGGCCGGCTGCATCCCTGCCAAGGACCAATAGGGTGCGTCCGGGGGGCAAGAGCGACATGCCGCAGGAGCAATCATAGGCCCATATTCGGGGCTCGGGGGCGGGTCGGCGCCAGAGACGAGAAGAGAGGAGGGGAGGCCTCCTCCGCCGCCGCCATCTTGGACCGGGCCCGGTCAGCTTCCGCGGAGCCATCGGCAGACGCCGCGGCCTCCCTTGAGCCCCGACCCCGTCGTCAGAACAACCCCGGGCCCACTTCCCCCCACCCCACTTCCGCTTCGCGCCGCTATCGCGATAGCGCCCGGGCCCGGGGCGCGAGAAAAAGGCGGCGGGCGCTCGCCTCCCCCGCCTGTCGCGATACGCTCCTCAGCGGCGGCGCCAGCTCCTGTGGTGAGAGCGTCAGGCTCGACTGGGCCGGACCCCTTCCCCTCCTCCCCAGGCGCCACCGCCGCCCTCCCCGCCGCCGCCCGCCTCGGCGACACCGCCGCCTGTCGCGACATGGCCGCCCCCGGCCGCCGTCCTGCCCCCCCCCCCCCGCGCGCCCGCACCCTCCTCCGCGCCCCGCGACGGCGCCGGGGGTGCCCCCCGCGGGGGGTGCGCGGGCGCGCGGGGCCGCCCCTCTCCGCGTCGGTCCGGGCGGCGGGGGGACTGCAGCCCCCCGCGGGCTCCGTACCCCCCACCCCGGCGCCCCCGGGGCCAGGCCGCCCCCTGCACGGCGCGCCGGCCCCGGCGGCCTTTGCCAAAGTTTGCCCTGCGGCGGAAAGTCGGGGGCGCGGGGCCCCGCGTCTTCGGCGCGGGCCGGGCTGCCCCCTCGGGCCGCGGGCTGTCCGCCCGCCCGGGGCATGTCACTCCCACTTCCCGAGCTCCCCTGCGTCTCGGGGCGCCGCGCGGCGGGAGCGCCCCTGCACCCGCCCCCCGGGGGCGCCGCTGGCCGGTGCGCGTGGGTGTGCTGACGCCTCCGCTCGCTGCCCGCGCCGGGCCCCCGTTCGCACCGGCCTTGGCTGGGGGCGCCCTCCTTCCGGAAGGCACGGGCCCGCCCCCTCGACGTCGGCGGGGGGCCCAGGGCTCCCACGGCCCCAGTCCCACGCCCGCGGAACCCCTGGGGGCGTTCCCCAGTCCCACGCCCGCGGAACCCCTGGGGGCGTTCCCCAGTCCCACGCCCGCGGAACCCCTGGGGGCGTAAGGCCTCCCAGAGCTGAGGGTCCTGTACTGTGGCGTGTGGGTTTTGCTGGCTGGGGTGCGCTTTCTCCTCCAGCGTAAGGAAACTCAGGGTTGCCTCCCCCGGGCACAGGGCTCCTGCCCCTCCTGGCACTGGCCCCTGCCAGGTGTAGGTGCCCGGGACTCATGCTCCTGCTCTCTCCTGCGTGTGGCTCTAAGTCTTCTGCCCTCTCAGTGGAGGGGGCGTGAGGTGCCTGAGATTGGACGGACAGACCCTGCCGTTGTCCCCTTGCAGAGGACGAAAGGTTCCTCTGCTGTAGGCTTTCCCAGGTGGGGTTCCCAGCCCCCCATTCTTGGTGTGGGGGCTCCCGGTGGGGAGGCCACTGCCTCCACCCCAGGCCCTCACGCGTCCCTCTTCCAGAGTCTGGTGCTTTATGTGGCAGCGTCAGCAGCCTCCTGGGTTAGGGATTGCCCTCCAGCATCACTTCGCAGTGGGCCAGAGCTCCTCGGCCATGGCCTGAGGCCTCTTCGTAGGGGCCCGTGGCAGCCCCGTGACAGCCCCCGGGTTAGGACCACGTGGTGTTAGTTCCCAGGACTCAGCCTTCTGCCCTTCTGCCCTGGTCTCCGTCGGGCCTCTCTGCACCCTCCTTCCTGAGCTGAGGTTTTGGGGGCTGGCCTTCATTAGTTTGGGTCTCCCACTGCAGTGGCTGTTGGCCTCTGTGGGTCTGGCACACTGCTCACCCCACCCCCAGAATGGGCTCCGTGGGGGGATGAGACTTTTGGTGAAGCCTCCTGGGCCAAGGTTCAGTTTTGTTCGAGACCTTTGCCGTGAGCGTGCAAGCTCTTGGGTGCCTGAGATGCCCCCCGTCTCAGAGTGGGCCTATTGTGGTTACTTTTCCCTGGGGGATCTTGGTGGCTCCTCCCAGGAGCAGTGGGGGCTCCCAGCCCTTTAAAACTGGGGCTTTTCTGTGGTGGCACCTCCACTTCAAGGCTCAAGTTCCACCCTTCTGTCTGGTCCTTTGCTGGGGGGTCTACGGTATCTCGATAT